CAAACTCTTCATTCCTTTTCCAACATCCACATAAGGTCCTAGCTACAACGGGTTTCAAAACATTTTATTAGGAGAATTTAAATATATAAAATGACAACTTTCTTGCAGAAGTACAAAAACTTACCCCTTAATGGAAGTTGAAAAGCTAGACTGTTTTAACTGTAGCCATTTAGTGACATGAGAGAGCAAAAGGCTGATAGTGTGTTAGTTGTTAACGGGCCAAGCTAAGGTACCTTAAAGTGTTTAGTCTCCTTTGGAGTTGGCTTCCTATTTCCAGAGGTCCTGTAATCGCTGGAATTTCAACTCTAATAAAAATGTCTGTACTAACTTCCACTTTTGGAGAGTTAGGAGCTGGATTCCATCCACTCTGCACAAGAGCCCTGGTTTAGCGGAAGATATTTGGCTGCCACTTCGTAAACAAACTTTCTGATGTGCTGTGTCCCTAGACCCAGACTCCTTGGCAGTGCTAAGAAAAAAAACAGCAATTCTGCTGCTAAGTCTACATTAGGAGTAAGCTTGCCTCATTAGGGCCAGAGGGACACGTAGCAGGAGGCACTGCTGCCACCTTCGTATTCATAATGACAAAAACTGTCTTAAGCCAAGCACTGATCTCTTCTCATGTATGTCCTCATGTTCCTCCTGGGAGGTCAACTTATTTCAATATTTTTATAGCAATTGTAGCCAGGATACTACCCCAAACTAGAGGTTTAGAATATAATATTAAGAGGAAAAAAGCAATAATAATAGTGTTATTCATCAGATTAATAACATTAATTTACTTATATCAGTAAATGGTTTCATGATATACAAAATTTCATACTTGTTCATTCCTTGCCTTTGAAGAGAGAGGAGAAATTCCTGTCTTCCTTTAATAAATGGGAGCATGAGTACTCAGTAGCCTAATGACTTACCAGGTTTAGGTTCTCACTTTAACCATAACTATGCTAAATATTTTCTTATGTTTCTTTTATCAATTAAAAAACTCAAGGTCACATCAGGAGAGTTAGAAATAGGATAAACAGATTCTATTTATATCACTTCCCACAGATGTTTAATGCTCTTAATTATCAAAGTATAAAAGCATCTCAATTTCACTAAAAACTATATAAACTTCAATTCCAGTATGTAGGACAAATGTACGCATTGTTAAATTGGTTCAAAAGAAGTCTAAATAAACCTTTCTAATAAGGACTATAATACAGTTTAATATATGGACTCATTATTGCTGATAGTACTGTAAACTAGAAAAAAATCTTTCCAAAGAGCCATAGCAATAGAGGAAATGAGTAAAATCAAAGCATCTTATATGCCTATCTGGAACTATTACAACAAAACCCTTACTATGTACAATTTAATATATTCCCATAAAAATTGTAAAAAAAAAAAAAAGAAATGTAGCAAGATGTTAGGCATGATGGCACATGCCTATAATCCTAGCACTTGGTAAGCTGAAGCAGGAGGATTTTTTTTTTTTTTTAAGCAGGAGGATTGAAGGCCGGGCTGGCCTACATAGTGAGACCATGTCTCAAAAAATAAAGAAAAACCCAAAACAAAAATATAGGAAGGTAAAGCAAAAGTCCTTCAAATTACCTTACACTTTACTTGGCAATCAAAATTTTAAAATTATGCCAAGGAAGCAATTTAAAATATAAAAAGTTTTACTCAATTGTAGAAAACTACAATTATGTTAACTATAATACTAAAAGATTACAATGTACCTAATACTTTTTGACTGACAAATGGGTTTTAAATGTAGTAAGTAAACATAATGTAAATTGAAGATTACTGTAAATATATAAATATTTGTCAATAAATAGAAAACAGAAAGCAAAATGTCTACAAAGACAATTATAATGCCATACTGAATCAAATTTGTCTAACCAGTTACTTATACACAAAGATAAAGAAATCAAAAGGCCTTAGAAATAAAATAATTATTAAACCAAATCTGAAGACATTACTGGTATGTTTATCTCAAAAGTACAGAAATATTTAATTTAAATGTGATCATATGTTTATTAATAACAAATTTAGGTAGAAAGAAACTTGATTTATATTATACTAGTCTCATGCCTAGACTGAGGGTCAAACATGGCTGGTCTTCGAACAGAAACAATTAACTAAGCCACTATCTTCAATAGTATGTACAATGACTGATGCCCAGGGACTGGGTTTTCTCTGCTTTCTATAGAATGTCTTTTAGACATCACTGTTCAGTAGTGTAACAAGAGGTAATTTGGCCGAATCATGTAGAACAAGGGCCATTGGTTCCTAGAGAGACACGCAACTCTTGGGTTGTCATTAATGCAAACTGCTTTCAAAACAAACTTTGTTTCATTTTATTCCCTATGTTTTCTCAAACTCTATGTAGAGTGTAGCACATTGAATTTATGAAAGTTTAGAAGAAACTGAAGTGTTAACACATCCATCTGAGGCTATCAGGGCTGTATTGAACTCTGGAATCAATATTGAACAAGGATCTTTGCGTAAAGCTTAATTGAATTCTGATAAGAATCAAATTACATTTTAGAGTTGCCATGGATAGATCTCATTAAAGGAAATCCGATTAAACGCTTTTATGAGGGAGAAGAGTCAAAAAAGATAGTAAGAATTTCCATTATTTGAATTCACCAAGCTCTTCCAAATGTGATTAAATGGCTCTCAAATAGTTCCCCTGGGATAAGCATCATCGTATAGCAACATGCAACTGGAGCAGAGGAGACTGACATCAGAGATCCTACGCCTGCAATCGAGATCAAAATCTGAGCCAACAAACTGTAGAAACACATGTTACATACCTTTTTTTCAGTCATATTACAGACTGAGGAAAGCAAGCAAAGCATTTAAAAATGGGAGAGCATATATCTGAGAGGGCACACAACTTTCTAATGCCCAGCATACCTCACTGTACATGTAAGATCCTCATGCTCAGAAATAGTAAATAGGTCTAAAAATCTTAGTAAAATTAATCTCAGATTAACATTTATTCCACTACTTTTTCTTGAGTAGGCCAATTATGCATTGCAATGATTGCTTCATTTTACCTTTGGGGAAAATATTGCCATCATCCCATTGTATAGGTAAGGAGATCAAGTCATAGAAAAATCAAGCAATTTCTGCACAAGATAAAGCTTAAGTGATGGAACCAAATTTAAACTCATGTTCTCTGCACATTGTTTCCTTGTTGTTGATATTGTATTTAGGATTGTTGTCTCATAACGGATAAAAAAGAATAGCTGAAGAAGGTTGTCACAAAGCATCACTAAAGTAGCAAGGATTGACAGTATAGTCAAAAAGGGATGAGACACAGACATAGGAGCTATAAAAGGTTAATATTCATTGTAAGAAAAAACAGCCTGAGGTGTCTCCACAGGCCCTGTTGAAATCACTGTTAGAGTTCATGACAAAAAGCAATTCTGTGGTGGTGGTCCTATGTCATTGTGAATGAGTTTGTACAGTCCATTAAAAAAGATTGGGACTATGTAACGTCTTTTGAACAAAGTTTTCAAAAGCTGATATTTGAAGCATTCTTGTGACCTAAAAGTGGCAAGCTTTTGCTTACTAGACTTTTTCTCATATATAATTGCTCCTTCCAAATCAATAGGACATTATTGCATTCATCTGTATATTTTCAAAAAATTAAAACATGTAGAATTTGCACTGGGTAGAGGACTAGGAGTGTGAATATGGCCCTGGCTATGACATTAAAGATATAATTCCACATGCTCACTTCTAAAGACAGAAGATAGGAAAATGATTTTAAAATTTTTTTCCAGCTCTAATAGTGTATATGGCATTATAATGATGTTACATGAAATAAAATTGAAATTAAGGGATGCAAAGCAATATTTAATCCTACAAAGTCTTAATCTTGAAGAACTTGGAGATCTGTGCTACAAACCTCAGTATTACAATGAGATATAATTGTCAGGTTACCAGAAGATGCCAACGAGGCCAGAAACTCCAACAAGCTTGAATTTTGGAAATCTGAATAACTATGACCCTAGTACATTGCATCCAAAGACGTTTTTGTTTTGTTTTGAGCAACTCCACCAGCCCCACCAAGGGTTTCTTTTATGTTGGATGTCTTGGAATGTGGGGGGAAGGGGGTCAAACCATGACTGCTTTGTGGGTTTGCAAAAAAGTAGTATTTTTCCCACAAATAAGCGTTAAATGGATAGATTGAAATGATGCAGAAAGATAGCAAAGATGTTTATTTTAGATTTTTAAAAAAAGTTCGCTTATTCATTAAATCACTTTAGCAGAGGATAGCTTAATAGACTAAGTAGCTCTGCAAAAACTAAGAAAAAGTGAGTATTTTTAGTCACTCAGCTATGTTATTCATGTCTTTTTTTTTTGGGGGGGGGTACTAGGGTTTGAACTCAGGGTTTCCTGCTTGCCAGGCAGGCGCTCTACTACTTGAGCCATGTCCCAGCCCTGTTGTATTCTTTTAACAAAAGGAAACAATTATTAGCTCAGCCAGCATTACTATTCTTTCACCCTTCAGGCACTCTATAATAAAGGGTTTCTCTGCATCACTGAAAACCTTCTGGATAAAGGGATAAAAAATACGCTGGGTAGATTAGTAGTCCAGTTTGAAAGAGCACAGACAAGTCAAGAGTTCTGTGAAGTTTCTCCCCAAACACTAGGATTTCAAATGCAGTGTGAGATTTAATAAAAAGAGGTATGACTCTGCTTCGTGGGGAGCCTTCTGATGTTTCAGGGAGGAACATGGCTAGCTTGTACACATATGCTTGAAAGTCACAGGCTGGTGATCTTCCCAGCAGACCACTCACTTAAAGGCAGCCACATCTCAATGCACTTTTCTGACCTCATATGAATGGAGAATATAGGGAAAAATAATGAAATGCTAATTTACACATGGACACATATTTTTAAGTCTAGCGAGAAATCACAATTTGATGGTTTCATCCTATCTGGAGTACATGGCATTTGGTCAAAGAAGACAAAGCAAGTGAGACTAAAAGTAGAGAACTTACAATGTAGCAAGGCTCACAGTAGGCTTTCTTCTCCACGGCATAGAAAGGCTGTCCTCGGAGCTTGTTGTTGCAGATGATGCAGGTGAAACAATCCACATGGAAGACCTGATCCATGGCGGTGCAGCCTGTACCTTCGCCAACTACATTTTCTCCACAGCGAGCACAGCGACCTGGAGAAAGAAAGGGGGGTTGATTATTGTAAGCAAATAAAGGAGCTCTTGGGTTCTTCTAAAGAAGTCAGTGTGGGGGAGACAGCAGATTCATCCTGCTAGCAGAAGCAACAGAAGCTCCACAACCACCATCACTACCCCTGGCAAGACCAGCAGTGTAGTCACCACTGTTCTTTGTAACACTGGTATAACGGGGATTTCACATGAGTCTTCTGAGGAGAATAAGACAAGGTCTCAGAGAAAGTGACACAATAGATCTCACATTTCTGACTCAGGCTAGTGTTCGCTCTCTAATCCTACTTACAAGTTTACGAGGAGCATGACTCAGGATGAGTCTGAAAGACAGTCTACAGAACAGTCCTGGAAAGCCTTTCTTCCTGGAGAGTCTGTGCATTCCGTGAGAATGTGAGGAATCTAGGCCTAAACTCAAACTTCAGTTCCTCTCACAAAAGCCCTGGTTGTCAAACCTCTGTAGCTAGCCTTCAGTGATGGGCAGATTGCAAGACAATCTCTTTTATTTTCAGAGCACTGACTACTAAAAAGTTCTTTTTCACACTGAGCCAAAATGCGTCTTCACTCTAACCTCTACACAATATTTTAAATTATAATAATAAGATACAATTTAAGCCAGAAACTTAGGGGTGTAACTCAGTGATAGAACACTTGCCTATTAGACAAAACACAAGGCCCTGGGTTCAATCCCCAGCACCACAAAAAAATCCCCCTCCAAATACAAAAATTTTTATTAGTGAGGAGAACTGTGCTGGTTGTATTCTATATCTCTATCTGGCTCCATGATGGGATTCTTGAGCCAAAGGTTAGCCCATATCTACCTTGCCTCCTTAATGTTTATCTCTACTAATTAAAAATCCTTACAGGCAATTATAAGGCCCCTGAGAATAACAGTAAGAATTTTCAGGCTTTTACACATAAATTATAGCAAACCAAGTACTTTATGGATTTCAGATGTTTTTCTTTGAGCTCTATATTAACTCATTTTATATTACAACCACCTATACACAGATACTGTTCTTATTCCTATTTTATAGATGAGATAACCAAGTCACAAAAAATGGCCAACTAACTTCAAGCCCAAGCAGTATAGCTTCAGTGTCTGTGCTCCTAATCACTCTGCTATATTTCTTCTTCCAAGTTCTATGCATCGGGATTAACACAGATCTGACACTACAACATTATGGAGCGACTTCTCACCGAAGACTGCTTTCAGCACTCCATCACATTGGATTGACAACCATTTCACACTCAAAACTGGGAGGGCCTAAATGTTTCAACTTGGGAAAAAAGAGGTAAATATATTTCTAATTCTCTCCGTTTGTATTTGGCCCTGGAAAGTATTTCTCTATATTCTGCTGTAGGATTGGAAAGTATCTTTTAAGAAGACTCAAACTATTCATCATTAATTTTTTTCTAATTATAAGAAATATCAAATAATAGCAAAAGGATTAAGTTCTTGGAACCTGGGCTATCTCTAATACAGTTGATATTATTGTGAAGTCTCAATATCATATTCTTTACACCTGACAAAAATTTTTTGTATAATATTTGTAATAAATTTTGTGACTGGTTTTACAAACTTCTATCCAAGAGCACCTTGTACCTACCTTTATTATAAGACATATAATTGAGAGCTATTCCTTTAAATTCTTATTCTTTTCTGTGCTTATAATAAGAAAAGTGAGCTATTTCATATGTTGTACTATTTTGTGATTGTTCTGAAAACAAAACAAAAACCCCTCAAAACTTTAATTGACTTACTGGAAAGTTAACTATGCTGTGTCTGAAACTGGCTAAAATTCTGAGAGCTTCATGCCACCAATTGACAATATTTCATTATAGAAATCAAATGGAAGATTAGGGGCAAAGAGATCACAAATTGATGTGAACACTATTAAGAACATATTGGATTCATATTGAAATTATAATTTTACCTTATAAATTTGTTAAATGCAAGGCAACAAAATTATTTTTCTATACTAATTTTTTACTTTCTAGAAGTCAAAAAGGATCATTTACCAGAGATTTGTAGACCACACTTTTAAGAAAATAACTCTGCTAACAGTTGAGAGTCTCTTGGTCATAGTGGTTTGCTAGGCAGCTAGTGGTGGCAATTTTGATCTAGATCACAAATGCTCAAAGTATAAAATATGGAATCCAAGAACAAGAGCCTCCATAGTGTATGGAGAATTCGATAGCTATCTATAAGCATCTGGGAGCAAATCACTTATGTAAAGGGAGAAATCAGACTGGAAAGACAGCCTTTGAAATTTTCAATGTATTTAATCGACACCCTGAGTGTCTACTCTTTGTCCAGTTCTTCTTTGTTTCTGTGTGACATGCAGAAATGGATCAGATACTGTCAGCACCTTATATGGTCATTTAAAGACTACATACTCCCAGCAATCACATGACAGAATGTGTGCGACATGTCCTAGGAGAAATGTGTTTTGAAAATATGAAAGGGAAAATCATATCTGAGAAGGCTCACTAAAGGTTTTGTGGAGAAATAGGTATTTGAATTTGACTTTAAAGGATGGAAATTTGACAGGTGGAGATGGAAGAGAGAAAAACATTTTAGTTCTTCTAAAGAGGGAATGAGTGTCTGTGGCTTACTAGATTCAAAAACACTGCAGTGCTTGGATGGCACAGCACAGTTTTGTCTTCTCAGTTATGAAGGTAGTTGGAATGTATTCATAAAACAATCTTCTCTTTCATGTTTTGGAGAATATTCTTCCAGAGTAGGTCACGCTAATATGCCAAACCCAGACATGACCAGCTCTCCTACCTTCTGTATTTTTCCTATTCTTGGGATAAATTGGGGTCACCAGCCTAAGGGCAGTCAGTCTGGCACCTTAAAATTCACAAGCACAGAAAAAAGAGTGAAGAATAAAAATTAAAAATAACTCTACACATCAGTAACACAGAAAAGGTGCCTAATGTTCCCATTGCACATTAACAAAAATTTACAAATATGCGTTTTGGAGAAGCATTCAGAATGCAAAGAAAACTTTTCAAATATGGAGAATCCTTGCCTCTAGAGGTACGTACATGACACCTTATTAAAAGCACACCACAGCCTTAATGCCCATCTTTTAGACAAGTGTCTCGGCACTTTCAGAAAGCAAAGCCAGAGGAATGGCACCAAGCTTCAAGGTACGAGAACATGAAGGAAACCCATTGATTTTGGGCTGTAAGAAGTCAGAGCTCAGATGCAGTTATGGTGTGAGGAACTCTTTGGCAATGCTTATAGCACAGAATATCAAAAGAACCTAGAGAGACTGGACATTTTATCCATGAGTGAAGTTTTACAAATCATACATACCAAAAGCTTATTTATACGTTGTAGTTTTTGGTATGTGTGTATAGCTTTATTGTCTGTGATGCCAGCCATGAATTCTATCCTCTCTTCTCCTCCTCCCTCCCATCTACAGCAATCTCATCAATGTCTCTGAAGCACTCTCTTTCAATCACCAGGCCTACAAACAAAATAAGCCATTACAATGTGTTCCTAATTGTTTAGATAGCTCTGGTTTACTGATTCTTAGAAATGGAAAGGCTTTGTGGATGTTTTAATAATTGAGCTAAGTCTGGAAGGTCGGACAGAATTTTAATTCATTTTTAGGCCAGCCATCAGTGAAGAGTGACACTCAAGGGAGGCAGCATAGTGGGTCATGAGCTTTGATATTTATTCTCTTCTATGGTAGTTTGAATTTATTTCCTTTATAATGTGCAAAGTGTTTTCCTGATAATCCCTGAGTTTAAAGGCCACAGATTCTCTCTTGCAAATGCTACTTGCTTTTGAGGTGAGATAGAAATGTCCACAGACACTTTGAGAACTGGAGCTATGGGGATCAGGGTTGACATACTCCCAAGCTTGCATACCATTCAGCATTACAGTGAAGTAGTAAATTGATAGACATGAAACCTGGTCAGTTTTGCTCTCAATTATCTTTGCTATTTGACTTATAATAGAAATTTCAGGTATAAGCATAGTTAATATTTGCACTCATAAATAGTATGATGAGCTGGAGCTCTGTATGTCAATTAGATGATATATTGGCTTTCTCATTAGGCACCTTCTTTAATACATTCTGAAAAAAGTCCTGTTTTAAAGCTTGAATCAATAAGATTGTATAGGAGAAGTGAAGTGACAATAAAGTATCCTGAGAAATTAAGCCTGCTCCAATTAACTGTACATATGGCCCCAGGAATTATCACTGAGCCTTGACTTAGCTGATTCATAAATAATCTTTCATTGAAGGTACAAATTAATAATAGGATGAATGAGTTGCCTTTAAGTGAAAATTTTCATAGAGGTGAAAATTTTATAAGGTTTCCAGGTGATTCTAATGTTCAGCCAAGATGAACCACCGTTCTAGATGGTACCTATTTCTATATTGCTTGTCAGAATAAAAATTTACACGTATCAAATAGGTTTCAACTGCATATAAAACAGGGACATTGTTTGCTGATGAGGTGGTTCAAAAAAGGAATGTTCTGTGGCATCATAATTTTATTTTTTTACCAACAAGAGCAATCTCCTTAATGCTATCTTTTTTTTTTACATTGTAAGGTATTCATTCTTTAATGTAATGTCATAATTTTATTTTATAAATTTAACAATAAAGACATATACAATCCTAGGCAGGGTACAAGGGTATAAGCCTATAATCCTAGCTACTTGGGAGGCTGAGATCAGGAGGATTGCATTTTGAAACCATCCCAGGCAAAAAGTTCTCAAGACCCCATCTCAGCCAATGGGTGGGCATGGTAGTGTGTACCTGTGTGGCACTGTAGCATGGCTCAAGTGGTACAGTGCCTACCCAGCAAACACAAGGCCCTGAGTTCAACCCCCAATACTACAAAAAGTAAAAGGATATAGTTCTTCAGAGAAGAAGTTTGTGCTTTGATAACTTCATTTCTATTGATAACAAAAGTTAATCCCATGAACAGTTCAAAGTTGGGAACCTTTCTGTGTCCTG